AGCCATGCTGTAAACTCCAACTCTATAAGAAACCAAATAGCATCTGCCAGTAGCATATCAGTTTGAAGTGACACCTGCTGACATTAAGTAGTGTCCATCAGCAGAACTGGAGTGTCAAGACGTTAAATCAGTCATACCTACTGCAGATTATATATATTCTATAAAGAAAAAGTACCAACAGACACACAATAACTGTTGGCACATCATTGATAACGGTACCAACTAAAAAAATACTATAGTTGATTCTATCAATACGTCCCGGCTCTGCTCTCTACCAGCCCAGCAGGGTGCTCCAGACAGGAATGAGGAAGTCTTTTGCTGAGCTTCCACCAACAGCCATGCGATGTGGCAGCTCGTCGAGCCCGAGACACCCTGCAGCAGCTGACAAGTCATTCAGAGCCACGACAGTTGCATGCTTACTGCTGCACCACCCATAAAAAAACAGGTGATTTATTTGGACCATGTGTCTGTCCTGTTGGTGAGCTCCCTCTGACCGCGCAAGTATGCCAGTGACACCTTTGCCGTGCCCATAATAGAAAGCCGGCCAATTTGACTGGTAATGCACAAGATTTCGAAAGCTCAGCATTGTGTTACGTTACTCATCCCTAAACCGTCAGGGGTCACAGCAGTAGCACATGTCTCATCACATGATTTTGTTTTGCATCCACAGCTGACGGAAAGCAATTGTTGTGGTCACTTATATTAAAAATAAACCAACAAACATGATTTAAATGTATTTATATTAATACTGTCCAGGTTATTTGGTACTCAACCCCCAATGTTTCTTTAATTAAAATATTAAGTGAACAAGTCTTGTTAGGGCAATGCTACACATAAGGCTGAGCCTCTTCCTGTTTGGAGTAATAAACAAAAACTCATTAGCCCTGGGCTGTTTTGGCTGTCAAGCTTTATTCGGGATAAAAGGAAAGTCAGAGATCACATGGGCAAACGTAATGCTTCAGAGAAAAGAGGAAAATCAGTCAACTGAAACAGCTGTTTGCTTGTAATACCCTCAGAAAAATCACGAGTTGCTTTTCTTTCAGGAAACAAGCGGCCTTATAAGCTGATTCAACGAGACACAGAATGCCTCTAATGACTTGGTAATATCTTTGACAGCTGTCAACATGAGGGCTCACTCTTTTAGCTCCATCTATTTTCTCCTCTACTACAAAAAGATGCAGAATATTATTTGACAGGTAGAAGTAGTTTTCAAAAGCTTGGCATAAAAATATCTTCGGCACAGGCTTTGAGTTGCAACTTCAAAACTGGTCACAGAAGACGGCAGCAGGATTTACATAACTTTGCTGTAGGACCCCCAAGGAAAAACCAGTCAGACTCGTGGCCCAGGTTTGAAAGAACAAATGACAACTCTGGACGGATGTCGCTTGAGGCTAAAAAGCAGAAACAGGAGGCTGTGTGTTATTTGATTTCCATACCAAGTGGTCGACCCTAATCAGCACATTGTGGTTCTGATGAGAAGTCATTATGATATTTCCTCCTGGCATTAACTCCAATTCAGCTCAATATGGCCCGATTTCACTGTTGTATTCTCCATGATGAAGACAGACGTGTTCAATCAGCCTCTGAATGGGCCTCATGTTAACAGACGGCCAGACAAGGCCCGCCCCATTAGCTCCATACTCACACCAAGCATCCCTGGCGGATACGGATGACGCTTCTGTGAACAAACAGTCACATCCAACTAAATAAACAATGCTCACACCTCTGTTTGTGTCAGGTGGAGCTTGAATTTAAATCTTCGGGTGGAGCTCATGAGAACAGGCAGAAGCCTTACCAATGCATCACAAATGAAGAGACAAACAGACCACTAAACGCTGCAATTACACTTGACAGAGTGTGCTTACTGCCCCGATTTGGTTCGGCATCCATTAGCCTAACCCGTGATAAGCAATAGAACAATTTTAATAAAAAAACTCCCTATCTAACATGTAATTTTGTGCTTTTGGGTAATGCTTACAAATACCATATAATTGTATGTGGCTGTGTCCAAAATAACTCCCGTACTTATTGATTCCTATGTTAAAAAATATATAACAGTTTACAATATAGTGAGCAAATAAAGTATGTTTAATCTAATTTTTAACACTTTTGTATAACAACCATAATTGAAAAAGTGCATTGTTTGGAGTATAAGCTGAAAGTACTGTTAATGATATGCTTGATTGCCTGTATTTTTTAGGGCAATATATAATCCATACAAGTCACAAACTAAAAATAGCAGACAAATACTTCATATGATAAATAACAACTCATTTCTGACAGAAGCTTTCTGCCCCACAAAGCCATCAATCCAAACGGGAGGTTCTCTTGTTGTCACATGCCTTCGATCCAATCCGAATTCGATTACTGCTACTCTGGACTTGTCCTCTCAAGAAGTGCTTTTTCTTTTCAATTCATGTGGACTACAGACACGCTTCTGAATTCAAGGTCAGAAGCATGCCGACCTGAACAGTGCATAATATAAAAAAAGATATGCTAATTTATATCACATTTTAGAAACATGAAATAAGAAGTACCGTACACTATTTTGCTGATTTAATATGCCTCTAGTACAGGCTTTGTTTATAACTAAACAGACGCACAGTACTGACAATTTCATGGACATGGTGGGATCATCTGGTGTTATGCAACCATGTCCCACAATATCTTTTGTTTGCAAAGCATGCACAGTAATTTGCTCAACCTTCGATCTCACCACCCTACATAGGGGACGTGATTATGAGCGCTCCAAGGCTGTGTGTACACGTAGCTCCAGGACAGCCAGTCGTGTAATTATTGCAGCGCCAAGCAAGCAGCAGGAGCACAGAAACAGGTGACAGGTCGGATCACAGCCCTCCCACACTTGGCCTTCAACATCTGGCTGCATGGTACTCTCAAACCGCCACCACCCTCAGTGAGCATAACAGCTGGCCGGGCAGCCCCCAGACTCTGTGCCAAGATCCTACACTTTGCACAGATCAACAGCGTCCCGACCACAACAAAGGGGATCACTCTGACGCTTAGCTTACTGACATAGCACTATGGCCGTGTTGGCTGCCAAAGGATCACACGTAAGCCCAAATAGTCTCTCTCACTGTCAACAATGAACGAGATAAATCAATCAAATACAGCTGGGACAGGATCTAATCAGCACCTTACCATCTCCATGTCCAATAGATGAGATACTGTTCAAAGAATATCCTTAGTCCCAAATGGGAAATAGTATACACAATCTAACCTGTCAGATATAAACACCCTATTATTTCCACAAGCTTTCCTCAATTTGGGATAATCAAGTTATGGCCTCGAAAAACTTTTTTTCACGAGAAATTATTCAACCAATTATTTTTTCAATTTCCGTCAGTCTAAGGTCATGTTTTAAAATGGCTTGCTTTGTCCAACTAAAATACATTAACCTTAAAAGACATACAATCTATTATCCCATTAGAAAAAGAAAAGCATTAACCCATCACATTTTATGAGATGGAACCAGGTACTGTTAGTATTTATAAATGGAAAAATTACAAAACCCATGTCGATTATTGTTGTCTTGAGGGAATGTATTCAGCTATAAATCACAGTAGAACAAAATGTGGTACAAAAGATCAAAAATACAAATCAAGAACTGGCCTTGCAGCCAACCACACTGACATTCGTTAATGATAAGACTGCAAAAAAACAGTCTGAAGACATACTGTTACAAAATAACAGTTGGGTCATGACATTTACAGAAGTGAAAGACACAAAGCAAGACGAGAGTCGGATTATTTTAATGCTAAATAAATATACTATGGTCTTAACGCCCTTAAGAAGTGCTGATACAATATCAGAATCAGGTTTATTGCCAAGAAGGTTTACATGAATGTGCCTTGTGTGTATAAATAAACAGTTATCTAAAACAAATCTATTTTTTTTTTTACTATTGTAATATTAAAAATATAGGGTAATATAGAGATACCAAAACACTACGTACAGTATAATATGACAAAATAAACATGTGCAGATATTAAAAGAGGTAGCTTTGTGTACAAATGTGCAAAAATATTCGGATGGTTGTGCAGGACTGACAGTACTAAAAATGAAATAAATAAAAACAAGATATGCATCCATCTGTGCTTGGTGAATGTCTCTTCTCCCTTGTGTGTACATGCCCTGTCACAAGATTTCCATTAATGGCTCAATAATGTAGCAAACCACGTGTTTTTAAGTAAGCACTCTGCATTCAACATGGACGGGGAGGGGGTTAGCTAGCTTGATAGCTAGCAGAGAAGCAGGGAGGGTCTGGTTGTGCGCCAGGCAAAGCAGAGCCCGTGTGCTGCCTACAAACAAGCTGCACTTATGCTGTTCAGCTTAAACCAAAAAGCAAATCACGTATCAGGTGTGCAACACTACATATTATTCACAAACTATCGCGTTAACTCCCTTCAACGCACTTCCTATTAACCGTTAATAACTGACCGTTGTTACACCAAACTTACCGTTTCGATCCCGCACACCTCAAAGTAAACTTATTAACCTAACTCTGAAGGTGGTGCCGTGTCCCTACAAGTTAACTTGCACACACACTCGGCAGCTTGTTGTGGTTAAAACCTAATAAATGCAGTTTTTAGATATGATACCGAAGCCTGTGATCTCCGGAAGCACATGTTACTTGACTAATGTAGCGCGCCTAGTATCCGATAGCTAGCAAACTGCGTTTTCTTCGTCCAGCAACTTCCAGTAATGTGACGTTAGCACCAAACCGTGTCGTGTTTGGGAGTCGTGTTACATTCACTTTAACTTGACTTCCGTTGAGGTTACGTCCCCTTATTATCGAAGTTAGACAAACTACTTAAACTCCAGGTGAGCGTACCGTCACTGCTCGTATGATTAGCAACGTTAGCATCGTAAGCTAACGGTAGCTAATTCGCCCTGAACTGTTGTATCTTTGAAAAAAACACTCACAAATGTGTCCACAAAGAGACGGGAACACAATGCACATCGATAGCTGGTTTACTTACATTGAGTCGCTCGAAGCCATTAACCGACTTTCGGCCAGAGGGTGGAAATCCAGGTTGTACGCCGAAGTCATGCTCAAAACAACGTCTATCTAACAATGAGAAGCGACTTTCACTCGCAAGAGGCTCAACTCCTGCGAGACAAGACGGAGCAGAACAGGTGCAGGGAGGGGGGGCGTCTTCTTCAAAACTGCATGAGAGAGAGAGGGAACCGGTATCCGCCTTTATTCCTTCCTCCTAATTTCTATCTCGTCTCCGACTGAAATAAATGCAGGCAAGCCGCTGTCACACTGAGCTGCAGCAAACCAGAGGCGTGGCCTTTTCAACAAAAGTCTGAAAGCATGCTGCCCGCTGCTTCTGCTGCCTCACGAGCCCCTACCCCCCGATGTAAAATTACTGTAATGTCCCACAGGGCCTGCACGTGGTATTCTATAAAGACTGTAGTGACCTATTTGTAGTTTATTATGTTTTATCTGCTGTGACATCCCTGTTTTTATTCGTATAATGACTGATATCACGTAGACTCTTTAGGAAAAAAGGCACATTATAAGAATCAGATCATGTCCAGTCTTTTTTTTTCGTTTATGGGTGAGTCAGGGACTAATGATCCTGATTAAAGGGCCATTTAAACTGTTTAAATATAAACCCAGGTCATTATCATCAAGCTTAATGGTGCTGCCCCTGTTTCCATATTTCATCAAGAGTCCAAATGAGGAACCTTTATTTTATATAAATCTTTTCAAATCAAATGGTAAAATGCAGTTTCATTCTGCTGTCTTCAGTCATGCTTTCCCCCTGGGTCATAGGTCATCTTCCCCTTTGTGCTGGGCTGTTGTTTCCCTGGGGGAAGGGAGGCTTATCTTCTTTTGTTGTGCTAGACTTGCAGGGCGAGGCCTCCTAACTTGGGGGGGAACAGTAGGGGGGCTGCTGTCAAGTAGTGTTTGCCTTAGCATAGAGGCTGGGGCCTATCCTAATTATCAAATCATTCATTATTGCTCCAGCAGCTGCAAAATCCAAAAATATTATTCATAGCGAGTGTTAAGAAACATCCTATTCATGGAATCCAATTTAATCCTTGTATCCATAGCAATTTCAAGGCAACTTGGCACCAGTGCAGAGCATGCTTTATTAAACATTGCCTAAAAGAGGTTTGTATGCATAATGTGATATGCGACCTATTTTGCCATACATGCATACAAGCCCACTATATGCAACATGCATTACCATTAAGCTTGAGGGCCTGCTATAAAAAGATATTGTAAACCTCTCTGGAGAATCAGGTTTCATTAAAATGGAGGAAAAAGACAATAATGTCATCCCATCCTCAGCAACCACATATTTCCTTTGACTCAATTAGATCTCAGGGGATCTTGTTGCAGAGATTTGTTTTAAAAGAAGCAGCATTCTTGTAAAGAGCAGCTCCTTTCTTTCGTGAGTATGTACAATATACACAGCTTTGTATAATTCATAATGCCTTCGCACCAGTTTATGCATCTCCTTGTCCTTTCTAAGAGATGATGGCTGGTTGCTTGCATCTTCTAATAATAGCCTCCTATTCTTAATCTTAGATTAGTATTATTACCGCTGTGATCCATTTTTTGTTTGATTTGCTCTCATGCAGTAGAGCTGAAGTTCCACTCCCCCATCATCATCATCATCAAATTTAATTTTGCACCCCTTCGTGACAAACTGCACAGTGTAAAAATAGGCCAACTTCAAACCCAAATGGGTCACATCATCTCTGTTTGAAAACGTTGCCTCAAACTTGAAGTCACACTTTTTTTCAGCTCAGCCCTTCGTAAAAGCTGCAGAATGGCGACCAACTAAAGGGCTCTCAAAATGGAGAGAACTTCATCTTATCATCCTTTCAGAGGAAATCTACTGGGTCAACATAGGCTAATAATGATAACACTGTTATCAGGGTGCAGTTTCTCTCAATTTATGCAAATTACAAGATGTTCCTTCTTGTTCTTTTAAAGATAAATTACATATTTTGTTGTTTCTTGACTGAGGGAGTATAGGCTGGGGTTGGTTTCAGTAGATATCTTTTTACATGGGTTTGTCCTTTTCAATTCAGAGACAAACACCTGCATCACAGACACATTTGTGTCTCTTTCTTTATTAACAGTTAATGCAAGTATCTGAGTCCTTGTTGAACTCTGCAAAGAGGAGAAAGGAAATTCAATGACATGAGAATCTGTATATTCATTTTTATATTCCAATACAATTTAAATCTAATCCACTTCTTTGACGAGGGAAAATGGGATTTATATGAATGGCCACATTCAAACAATAAAATTGATGGTTTCTGGGATCCTGGGGTGAAAAACCACACTGGGATAGCAGAGGAACACCACCCTGCCCACAGTCACACAGACACAGTATGAGAGAACGCCTCAGCTGGAAACAATACATCCTATGACAATATTCAGCCCAGACAAAGAAGCAGTCCAAATACGGGCTGCTCTACAAAAGCTAGCCCAGATTTGAATGAGGGGCCAACCCAAACGTACCTCATAGGCAGGTCCTCATTCCTGACAGAGATCCCGGCTGCAGAGGGGGGACAACGCATGCTGTTGGCATACAAACTCTGCACCAGGGCCAGCTCAGAAGAGTGTTCCAACATCGGTGTTCGGTGCTCTGGAAAAATCCAACCGGTGAAATGGACACTTTCTTTTCTTTCCCTCTTTCCTCTATGTGTTTCTCTCCCTTTCTCTGTCTCCCGCCCACTCTTTCTCCTTGGTTTAGTGCAGCAGAGCGGCGCCCACCCCCTTCGCTGACTGGCGTGGCTGAAATAATCCTCTCTGACAGCTCATCGTGCGCTAATGCATTGTGCTGCCTGCGGCAGCCCAGTTTGCTGCCTGTAAAGCTGTGGCCACAGTAGCACTCTTGCACTAATTGACACCCATACTAGGAAAACTTCAGCAAATTGGACATGGATGATTTATTCCCACTGTCAGATTGGGATAGATTAGAGGAAACATGGAAACAGTTGCCTCAGTATCTCATCCACTAGTCCTGGTTTTGTGGCATCATTCTGTAAGTGTCGGCATGTATGATTCAGTGAATTGCTCCAAATAAAGGCCAAGGCAAAGTAGGCCTACACACCTGTAAGCCTGCTTCCCTAAAAACTGTTCCCATTACGTTTTTTTAACATTAATAATTCAACTCCTCACTGAGCACCTGTACATGTTGTAGGTAAATATTACAGCCATTCTATATTCAGCTCCTGTGGGGATGTGCATGACTCTGTCCCTCCGTGAGCTGGCTGATGATTAACCAGTGGGTGACAGGTAGAGAGCTGAGAGCTGACAACCTCATGTCATTATTATTCTGGAGTGGGTACAGATAAAGATAGCCTGCTAGAATATAAGCATACATTGTAGTCAGCATGAATACTTGTTTAATAAGGACAGGTCACAGTGCAACCCCCATTGCTCACCATTTCAGACTGCAGTCAATCCACTACTCAAATACATGCAAATACTGCCTGAGACTCTACTTCAGGCTCACAATAGGCCTACCAAAGAGCATATTGTACTCATGAAATCGACCTGGAGGCATGTATTTCTGTAAAAAGATCTACGATAGAAAATATTTCTTCACATTAAAATCTAACTACTAAAAGCCCTTACCATCAACTGGGTGGTGCTCAACAACATGGTGCTTTTAAAAACTCCTTGCATGTTACCTTGCATTGGGTAAAGCTCATTTGACTGTGTTCTGAGCCATAAACTGAAAATATGTTGAAAGCAGAGCAGTTTTTAAAGCTGCAGTACACATATTCGGAACTAACACACTTTAATCATGTTTTGCTCTCACTTTGCCACTAGATTAAACATTTGAAAGCAATTTGTCACAATATTCTTTGCGCAAAACCCAGGAGATATAAAATCTAGGTCTCATTCTCCCATAGGTGTTGTGTTCTGTTAGTAGAACGTGACATTAAGTAGGAAAGTCATCTGAAACAGGGTCATGTCGGTGTGTGCTGGTATCTAACTGAGTAGATCAGCATGAAAGGGCTCCACTTCCTCTGATCATGGCACAAAACCTTCTTCATTCCAGCCCTGCTCTTTTCTGCTGATATGAATATTTAAACACTGATGCTGAAATCCAGTTCTGTATGATGTGTTGCTGCTCAGTGCCACGGGCGTCATGTAGAGCACATAATCTTACAGAGCTATGATCTACCAACATGTAAGTGCACCAGAAAACGCTCAGTATGATAATAGTGTGTGCTCAATGCTTTCCAGTTGAAACCTCATTCAAAAGAGGTTGAAGAAGAAAAATAACACAACACAAAATGGCGTAGGAATATGACATTAAAAGCATCTTGTGAAAGCTGTAAGTAGTGAGGCAACGATGCATCACTAAGAGAAACCCACCACATCCTGTTCACATCCACAGTGAAGAGAAAGCTGGTGCCTTAGTGTGTCTTAGTGCGTGACAAAAACACACTGAAGTTAAATAGCAGCATATATTTACAGCACTGCAGGTGGCCTCGTGATGAGTGAAAGCAACCATCAGCTTTCCCTTTTTGCCACATTTACCACCTCTTGGGACTGATTGGACAAACAAATAATGTCTGTGTTTTGGTGGATTAACACTGAAACTGTTACAGCTCGGTGCACACCGTGTCCTGCAGCTTGTACCAATGCGCAGTGCTGCACACGTGTGTTTTAACATTGAAGAATTAATACTATGCTTTACATCATATTTATGTCCTGTTTATGGGGGAGTTAAGATGCGTCTGGACAAGGTGAAAACATGTTGTACTTAGTCAGAAATAAAGACTTAATCCTTTTAATGTCAGACATGGCAGAGCTCTATCTTTACCGGCACTAGGAGGTGAAATTTATGAGCCAACAGATGCTAGCAACAAGCTTCGACTGTACGAGACCTGACACCAGCATGTGTGACTGAAGAGAGGGACAGACAGCATGAGAGACTTTTAGCATTAGAGGACACTGCTATCTATGAACTTCTTGACATTTTAATTCATACAATGCCTCATCTGTCTCTCAGCAATAACCTTTTGGTGAATTAATTCTGTGTAAAATGACTGCTCATGTGTGCTTGCACGAGTGAATGCATCTCATATGATAAAAAGCAACACCACACTGAAGTGTCTGCTTGTTTTGCATGGGCAGAATTCATTTAACTTCCTCATTTCTCTTCAGTCACACATCATTTTTTCCACTTCCTCTTTGATTTAGTGTTATCGGAAGACACTGAGCAGATTTCCGTCAACGCCATCTATGGGAGCGTCACACAAAATGAGAGAAAGAGATTAATAAG